ACATAATGATGAGTGGGTCCCTTGTGTCAGTGTCTATAAAAAAGGAGTTGAGGGCTCCTGCTAGAGCAAATGCAAAAAAAAAAAAAAACAGGCCCTTAAAAATAAAGGGGGGTCTTCAAATCAAAAGTAAGAGGCTTAATTTGAGGGCTTTTTGTTGGAGTTACTCATAGGACTTTGTAGAAGTCTATTGGGAGTAAAGCTCCTACTTGTATATATGGGGTCATGGAGAGGACTATATAAACAAAGGGTAGAGATCATAGGCACCTGAGTCAATAGAAGAGTTTGGCTTGTAAGGAGCAATTAAGAGAGCTCAAGAGAACTATGCTAGACAGTTCTATTGTACTAGATACATGTATAGGATAAGAATCAGTGGGTCCAAGAGGGTAAGGAGGGTTGTAAGAGAGCGATAATCACTTGTACTTTTTTCAAGTTGTGCTTATAGAATTTGTTATTGGCCTTTGCTAAAATCCTAATCTCTTATCATGGTTGCTTCAATGTTGTCATCTAGGGTATTCTACTAGATTAGCCAAAAACGAAAGTTCTGTTCTTTACTAGTGGGTCATTTTAAATATATGCCTCTAAAAATAAATTAACAACATTTTAATAAACTCGTCTAAAAATAGTTGCATTAAATAATAATTCATAACTTTTTCATATGAAATCGGATGAAGACTAACTTTATATCATAATCATAGCTCTCGATGTGATCTACAACTTCGTAGTTGAAAGGCTTTTTATTTAAAATTTTAGAGTCCCAAAATATTGCTTAAAGTCCATAGATTTTAAATTTAAGATTTTCAAACAAACTCGGACGTTGACATGGCTACACCAATGTTGTAGTTCTGAATACAATCTACAAGTTTTTAGTTAAAAAGTTTTTGATTTGAAGTTGTTTATAGTCCCAAGTATGTGATGTTTTAATTTTATCGATTTTGAAACTCAAATTTTAGAATTTCCAAACGGCCTTGCAGTTGTTTACATGTTTGCTGTTGATATGTTTTTGTTTGAAGTTTTTGTGTCTTAGATATTTGTTTTAAATTCACATATTCTGAGACTTAAACTTTTTGAAATTTTCAAACAATTTTGGATGGAGATACATTCTATACCAATGTTGTAGTGCTTAACAAGATGAAAACTTTGTAGTTTTCATTTGAGTTCATTTGGTGATATATTTAATACAAGATTACAAAATGTCGATAAAAAATAACATTCTAGAAATGAGTGTTTGTTATAGTGGTAGGGAGGTGCTATAGGTGAGCAGTAGGTTGCGGGTCGGTCGAGAAGCATCAAAACACGCCCGCTTATGTAAATAGCATTATTGACAATAATAATTGGTTAGAGGCGTATATATGAGTATATGACTTCCTGAAAATTATTTTGTACAGTAATGAATGTTTAATGAAACATGTTTCTTACTGGGAGTCGAATGTTGAAGATGGAAAACCAGAGGCCTTGATGATATCTGGTGAAATTCAAATCTTGCAATTGAAAGTATTTGAAAACTATGTTGCCACTCGTAATTAGTATTGGCCATGGCCTAAGGATTTTTTTTAATTAATATGGAGTTAATTTGAGATAAACTAGAACCGTGCATGCAGTTGCACATTGTGAGAATCCGGAATTAAAATACAAAATTCCATGTATTTAGTTTAGTGGTATGATATCATATATTAACAAGATCGCCTAGTAGCAGCAGCTATAGACGGTTTTGTATTAGAGGACTGCCCAAAGTTGAGCTATATAAGTGACTTCAAACTGAATTATGGACTGACTGAACCCCCACCCACCCCACACACACACATCCACCCACCCACCCACACACACACAACAAATCAAAACAAAAGCCCTGAATTGCGGTGGTGCAGAGTGAGTTGCAGTGTGCAGACCCACACCTCGTAACTGATATGATAGGAGTACTATGTAAGTTCCTCGGTGCATCATGATATCATCATCACACATCACAGCCCAGGAAGGAGGCCAGCTAGAGGTAGAAATAGAATGGTGACGTCAGAAGCAGTCCAAATCAATCTAGGTGTGTTTGGCTGCTGACTGGTCCAACGCCTACTAATTAATCCGCTTGAACCTCCAAGCCAGGGCAGAGTTTTTGGTAAAACCCGCGCATGGTCAAACCAAATTAGGTTCTAATCCTGTCGTGACGGGAACAAATAAATCTGAGCAAGCCAAGCCAAGCCAAGCCAAACAACGACACCGCACCAGCTAGACTGGACGTACGCCTGGCCCGGTCGCCATCTCCCCGTGTACATGCATTCTGACGAAACGGAGACGGCGACGACCCACGCCCGCGCTGCGTCTTCCTCCGGACGGGCCGGTCTGCCGGAGAAGGCACGGCAGATCGAGCGCGCGATGACGACGGAAACGGACACCCCTCGGCCCGCCCGTCCGATCAAACGATTCGACGTGCGGCCCGGTGAGGAGCGGCAGCTGCGAACAGCTGGTCGCTCAGGGTACGGTGGTGTCAGCTTTCAACTGCTTGGTCTCCGGCCGGCCGGGCCAGCTGGTGATAGACGCCTAGACGGAGGCGGCCGCTAGCTTGGTGCGTGCAGCCCCTCTCGCTTTCGCACCAAGTGAAACCACGCCTCCAATCTCTTTTCTCTCACACACGTGTACATACTACGTGCTCTATCGTCTTTTGAAGCTCTTGGTTATTATAGCGCGCGCTTTCGGAGAAATTGAGTGGCATTATATGCTAAAATGCTAGTATATATGTGTGTTTTTAATTTGTAATAATAGAGGACCTTATATTGATTTATACAGATCTACTTCCTAATTATTACATGCTAACAAATAAAACCATTAAAAACATCAGTGTGTCATGTGTAAGGTGGGGGTTAACAAAGAACTCCACTATTCCACCAAGGGCGACATGTCTCCCAAACTAGAGTCAACTTGGAGCGATGTACAAAGATAGAAGCTTGAATAAGGGTTACATTGTAAAGAAAAAAGCAATACAGATTTGAAGTACAGACAATATAAATTTTTCAGCGGACAGGAAAAATCGTGTGAATAGTGGACTTATCATCGATAGTACTCATATACATCATTTGTCTATATTTATTTTGTTCTTAGACTTGGATTAATCTTGTGCTCGTATCGTCATTTTAGGTTGGATGCAGTTAATACAATTTAACCATCAATATGTTGTTTAATATTCCGACTGAAATTTTGAAAATGGCACAGGAATATACTTCTATATATGAAAAGTAACTTCAAAATATATAACTTTTCCTTACTCTGCAAAAAATGTATATACTTAACTAATAATAGTAACTAGTCAAAGAGCATGTATAAGTGGCCATGTGAGTGTCTAAAAGGACACGTACTCTTTTTATGACTAGTGGACACTATTAGATGGGGTAACATTTTGTACCAAAGGTAGGCGGACCAAGCTCTGCTACATCCCCATCATATTTGTACAAAAGTTGAACCTCACCTTACATGCTAAGAAAAATATTACACAAAAAAACGAAGCATGTAGATAATAAGCTTTTCTGATCACGGAAGGGAAAAAATAAATGCACGGCATTAATTAATAAATATTTCCCCGTGCTGTACTATTTACGTTTTCCTCAACCTATAAGTAGGGGGACTGCTATGCATTAATTAGTATTATGCAGCTTCTTCCAGTGTCTCGTACTACATATACTACACATACAGAGGTAAGGTCAAAACTGTACTAGCACAAATACAACATGGAGAAGAAGAGAATACATGCATGTATTCGTGAGAATTAATGCATGAATTTCATGTGGATGTTTCCTACGCGTATATATGCCCGTCTTGCATGCAAGATGAATTTTCCTTATTTACTACGTGGCAGCACACAGAACACACCCATAAAACCCAAAAGCTTTATAAACCACTGATGAAAATATGGCACCAGAAAATTCGCAATGTTTTTTAAACAAACGTTTTCCTCTAGAAAGAGCATGCAGTAGGAATAATCAGGGGAAAGCAGATACTTCTTTTACTTTGCTCTCCTTTTAGTCGTCCGTCCACTCTCCAGATGCAAATTATATTCCGTCGAACGTGGGAATTAACCTCTAAAAGAGTTTAATCAAGTGGGACAACGTCGTTAGCGATCTAGATGACAAGTACGTCGCCATCAAGCAACGCCTACCTCCCAAGCAATTAAGTGGACACATTAAACAAAAAGATGCAAGAGAGAGAAAGATACGAGAAAATCCGATAATTTGTCCGCGACAAGGGCATCTCGAATTGACCCAAGCTATATATATTTTTTTGGGAACAGACCCAAGCTATATCTTTAGGAACAGGACATCTATCATGCATAGATTTGTTCCATTATTATACAAATATAATCTCGGTGTGAATTATATTGTACTAGTTTTTTTATAAAAAAAGATATATACATGTATATATATATACACACACACACACACACATATATATGCATACCTACAACTCGTGGTTTGAACTGGCCTGGGGGGTGTGATGCGCTGACAGGTGACACACCAAATTAAAGACAATTAACCGGAAAAAAATACATCATATATTTACCCTCTTTCCCAGACCATAGTTTGCAACAGAGTATACTCGATCGAATATATACATGTTCACGTACTAGTACACAAGTTGTTGCACGTAGTATATATACAAATAAAAAGCTGATCCGATCCTTATGTGCGCCAACTGATATTGTCACAATCGGATCATGTATATCAGCACACATGGGTGGAATTGACATGTGACATATCTCTGAAAGCGGAACAGTAGTACTAGCAGTCCAAAGGAAGAATTGACATGTGACGCATCTCAGAACTTTCGGATCATCTAGCTTTCAGAAGCCTCCACGAAGGTTGCAGGTCGCAGGCCGCATGTATAAATTGCAGAGCCGGGCACGCCAAAAATATTATTCAGATCAGCAGGAACATTAACTGATACGACACACAAGCAAGGCGGCTAGCTACAGCGGCTAGTGCGTGGTGCAAGCAAACACAGCTAGCTGGTGCGTGCATGCAATGGCGGCTTCGCTGGGACTGAACCCTGAAGCTCTCTTCACTTCTTACTCGTCTGCCTACTCCTCCTCGCCGTTCATGTCCGACTACGCGGCAAGCTTCCCGCCGGCGGCCATTGACTATTCAGCCACGGCCTTCTCCGCGGAGCTCCTCGATGACCTTCATCACGTCGACTACTCACCGGCGCCCATCTTCACCGGTGCCGGAGCCGGGGCTGGCGGCGATCGCAACGAGAAGATGATGTATGTAATATTACGGTGTGCTACAGATACTTGCTAGTTACTATTGGTTGGTGTCCCCTGTTGCTTACTATAGTTTTGCTTCGGTGATTTTATTCATCAGGTGGTGTGAGGGTGGTGGTGATGAGAAGAGACTCAGAAGCAGTGGAAGGATCGGGTTCAGAACGAGATCAGAGGTGGAGATCTTGGACGATGGATTCAAATGGAGGAAGTACGGGAAGAAGGCTGTCAAGAACAGCCCAAATCCAAGGTACATATATATAACTGTGCAGATTTCAGTCTCTAGATAATAATTAATCTCGGGTTTGATCGAGTGCAACTAGATTTTACATATTTTCACCTGGAATGGAACAGTTAAATTAATTCCCAGAACAAGAAAGCCAAGAAATCAAAGAAATGAATCCTCGCAAAACAAAACAAAAAAAGAGCAAAGAAATGAAATGTTTACTCGATGCTGATGGCTTGTGCATGCGCACTTGTGCAGGAACTACTACCGCTGCTCGTCGGAGGGCTGCGGCGTGAAGAAGCGGGTGGAGAGGGACCGCGACGACCCCCGCTACGTCATCACCACCTACGACGGCGTCCACAACCACGCCAGCCCCGGAGCCGCCGCCATCATCCAGTACGGCGGCGGCGGCAATAGCGGTTTCTACAGCCCGCCGCACAGTGGCTCGCCGTCGGCCGCCTCCTACTCGGGCTCCTTCGTCTTCTGACTTTTCCGGGCCTAGCTTGACCCAGGGTGATTTACCTTTACCCCAGTCGTAGGATGAGAGGAATGTTCAGAGAGAGATCAGTTCAGCGGCCGGCTAAATTCCGACCTGCCTTGTAGATTTTTACACTTGTGCAGTACAAGTAATTAATAATATTTAAGTTAGAAGCAGAGTATTCTACTTTATTTACCTCAATTATTGGTTACCTCTTGTGATGATGCATCATCTATCATCACTAGGATAATTGATGACATCATGTTTTTCACTTAATTAGTTTCTTCGTGTATACGTTTGTAATATGCCGTGTACGTTTGTAATATGCCGTGTAGCTGAAAGGCTGCTGATTTAACTTGACTTCTCTTGTTCGGTATTCCGGTTATCCACCGCCCACAATGCGATTGATCTCACCTAGAAGATTTTTCTTGTAAGCGAATCGAGAACACAAGCAAAAACATGAAAAAAGTAATCTAAAATTGCAAATACATATATGAAGTGTATGAATCTAATATGAGGTCCAAGTCTTGATGTGAAAGGACTAGTCGACATAAGCGAACAAGATCAAGAACAAGGGTCCTGATTCACAACAGTCGAATCTTGTGATACAAGTGCTATGAATGATGTCTGTTTCGCGAGGAAAACAGAAACACAACAAAACACAAACCCTAACAAGTGCGATGGTGGCTAATTATATGTCTTAGGTGTGCAAACCCTTGAACACGCTTCCTAATGGGCTCTAAGACGATACACGGCCTAACGAACAAAAATAGGGTGTCACGACACCCTGACAGATTCTATATGCTGACGTGTTTCGATAATTCCCACTGACTCCGGATGAATTTTGACGTCAAACTAAAGCCATTGGTTAGCTTATGAAATTATCTTTCCAGTATATATGGATCGTAAAAAAACAAAGTATGTAAGCATCCTAGGCGTCGATTTTACCTAGGATTACTCCTAGAATTTGAGATGGACTCCAATCTAAGTTGGACTAGGCCTCCTCCATGACTTAGATAAGTTGGACACTCATGCTGGTCCTCTTCATCTCCTTGGCTTGTACCCGAAAGGAGTGATGTCCTCATCAACTTACCCCATGGATGATTGTAGTAGTTAGCCGGTGGTGACAACCTTATTTGACTTTCATAGTCCAGCACATTCGGTGTAGTTCTTAAAACATAGGGTTCTATTCAATCACCATTCTCACCCCTTTTCCATTGATATGCTAGGTATATCTCTCTGTAGTGTTCTTGTGCATGATCACTAGTATCTATAGCTATGTTGGGTTATATGAATAGTTTGTGCTACCTTAGTCCACGGTAGAGAGAGTTATAGGAACATTGCACTCATTCATTATCCTCCTAAACTAGCTACTCTATTTATCTTTATCTTTGTGGAACTTAATTCTATGTGTGTGTCACACTACCCTTTATTTATTGTTTACCCTCGCTAGGCTTCCCGTACATTTAATTGAAATATAGTCAAATTACATATTTATTGATACTCTTAGTCGCTGCTTTCTCTGTGGATGAAACAAATACAATACCTTGAAATACTCTCAGTGAAATGCTACAATGTACTTCTACACACTTGCAGAATTAACTACTTAAGTATAAGAAATACCAATAAATAAAGAATGCCTCATCACAGAACTTTTAAGGGCACAAAGGCATTGGTAAGGAGAGTTAGACCAACTTCGACAATGTGTTGGTGTTTTATCTCATCTGACTTGTTTTGTTGATGAGCATGTGGGCAAGATACATGTATCTTCTAGAAGAAGAAGTTCAATTTCCCATACTCCCCCCACCCAATCAGTTTACATAGTGATGATATTCCTATTAAATCTCCTCTCAATAATATTTTGGAAATTATGAAAGACATGGAAAACTTCTGAGTGGTTCTTCAAAAGATAGATCCAAGTATACTTCTAAATCATCAATAAATATTACATGATACGATTGCCATCTGATGTGGGTGCAAGACCTCATACATCCGAGAAAACAAGCTGCAATGACACAATAGACACATTTTCTATTTTAGGATAGGGCATCTGATGACATTTCCCTTGAAATGATCAAGATGCCCAATAGGGGGTGTATTGGGCTAATCTAAAATTCTTGGAAAATTAAAACCTACCGCTTAGCCCATTTCACCCCTAACAATTATTATTTCTAGCCTACCGCACAAAAGTTTTGTAACCTAGTTCCAACCTTAATCTAGCATGAAAATTGTAGTAGGAATGTAAAAACATGTAAGTAATTGCACAAATATAAATGTTCAAAGTAAAGAGAGGGTTAGGAACACAACGATGTTTCCCCGAGGTATCGAAGAGTCGGCACTCCCCATTAGTCCTTGTTGGAGCACCTCTTGCAAGGTATTGCTCCCCCTTGATCCGCACAAGGACCAAGTACCCTCTATGAGTTTTTTCTTAGCCACTCTAGCATGGTGAAACACCCACAACCCTTTACACCATGACTTGGGCCTATCGCAATCACCAGCGAGAGATCACCAAGCTCCTCAACACCACCAAGCTGTCTAGGTGGTGCCGATCACCAAGAGTAACAAGCATAAATCCCCACTTGACCTAAATAGGTCTAATGAGGAAGCTAGATGCACACTTGCTATGACTCCCTATGCTCTAATGGAATCCTTAATCTAGCACTTAGCAAATCCCAATCACTCCACTAGCCTTGAACTCTTCCTTGCTCTCCAATATGTGTAGCTAAAAGTGCATCAAGCCCTTTAGTGGGTTTTAGATGATTGAATGATAACGTGGTTAAATGTCTAACCTGTTTGCTAAGTGTGGACAGAAAATAGGTTATCTCACAGGTAATTGATGAAAGCCAAAATGATGTGTTGTTGTATAAGCAATCTAGTTCAAACACAAGACAACAATACAAATATAATTATGCAAGGCTTATTCATTGTGGGATTTTGATGATTCATATGAAAGCAAGCTCGCTGACAAATGATTAATGAGAAATGAGGGATTGCATATGGAATGGTCTCACATTCTAAACCTTGCTAGATTGAAAGACATTTATACAAATTGTAACACCCTAGGTGTTAAGCATGCATTTGGCATTGGCATTGCATGAGCAAAAGCATCATTGATCATTCATGAGCATGAGCATCTCAAATTTTATCTCTATGATTGCTTATATCACATGCGTTTGTTACTAAATGCTTTACATATGCTAGGGTTTGCATGTGACTAATGTATAAAATATTTGTGGGACCCTAGGAGTACCTTTAATATGTTTAGAATGTCATTTGGAACAACTTTGGTATTCATAACTTGGACCCAATTGGCCTCTAAGTCATGGTTACAGTGTAAGTTATCATTTTTAAGTTGCATGATTGACCTAAGTTGAACTATATCATAGAGTGTTTGTATGGCAGTGCACCCTTAAGCAAAGTTGTAGTATTTGACTTAAGTAACAACTTTTATTTTTGGGTCAAGACCTAATTCGGTGCATAGCATGCTAAAAAATAGTCAACAAGTAGCAATAGATTACTGTTTTCGACTTTGAAAATTTTCTAAGTCTTGAGCTGGTTTACCGTTTCAATGAACCTGCGTTTGATGCGCTGTAGTTTGTAAACTAGGCCAATCTAGACTAAACTCATTTAATCAAAGTTGTAGATCTCGTGTAGCTTTACAATTCTTGTTAAAGAAGTTTTTGCAAAGGACGAACGGTTTAGGAGTAACGATCGCGTGAAATTGCTCTGCCAGTCGTGTTCATCAGGGCCTGATGCCGTTTCGACGCTGGTGTCAGTGGCCGACTGAGGGTAGGCCTGGCACGCCGCGTGGCGGCCGTATGCCGGTGCTGGCCCAGTTGGTCAGGCCAGCGCGGAGGGATAAGGCGTGCGCCTCTGCTGCTTGCTCCATTTCACCCTCGCACCCCGCTCTCTCTCGCCCACGCCAGATCAAAGCGGAGCACCACGCCATCACCATCACTCTGTCGTGCCCACTCACTGCCATCATTGCACCACTGCCCAATCTAGCTCGCCAACAGCTCCGCCATCATCACCTCTTCCACCCCGACTCGCTAGCCCCACTTGTCGAACCAGGGTAAGGGCGCATTTCGCTTCGTCGCCACTGCGCCATTAATGGAGCGCCGCCGCGTGCTCGGCTCACCGTAGCCACGCCATTCCACCGCACCTCCTGTCCTCCTCTTTTCTGGTCTATAGCCGCTTTGTGGTCCATATGCTTTGGCTAGAACTAGGTTTGATGTTACTGCGCGGTCGTGCGGGAACACACCACCACTGTCGCCGTGGCCGCCATGGCTGTGAGCTTGAGCTCACCGTGGCCAGCTGTCTTAGGGTCACTATAGTCCCTACTCTTAGTCGTCTTTGCATGGCCTTGTGACCTAGATCCAGTAGGCTAGACGGAGACTCCTCTCTCACCGCTGGCTAGCCGGAACAGAGAGCCCTGCCATAGCGCACCATGCGCCGCCGCTTGGCCATGCACGTGGCCAAGCTTTTCCACTGCGTCACCATGGCCTAATCCTCGTCGTAGTGCTACGCCAGGCCACCAGGATGGAGTAGCCGTCCTCACCGGCGCATGCAATAGTCAGAGATGGCCGGCGCGCCACTGCACAGCTCTATCGTGCCGCCATCGCCACCGGCGAGGGTGCTCCAGTGCACCATTGGTCAATCGAAGGGTACCAGTAGGTGCGGGAGATCACGGGGAACACGTTGATGTCACTGTCGTCGTCGGTGATCTCACCACTGGCAAGATAACACTAGCTGAAGCACCTCCTCTGCTCTGGTATCACTGACACATGGGTCCTACTGACTAGCGGGCCCCATCTGTCAGTCTGTGTAGTGATTGATTTCTTATTTGTTTTCATAGATTTGAATGCATGTTTCAAAAATTCATATCTAGAGTTAGGAGTGTCCAAATGGGGTGAACCAAATTTTGTTGGATTCATCATGAAGTGTAGTATTTGATAGAAATATGAAATGCACTATTTCTGATATTTTTCTGGGAGAATAAAATAGAGCTA